CCCGAGCGAAGGACTAGGGGCGGTAAGACTTGGGGGTGCACGCAAGGGACGGGGAAGGGGCTGGAGAGGCAGACTGGCACGCTCCACCAAGCTGGGGGTACCAGGGAGTTGAGACTGTCCCCCTGGCAGCCCGGGCCGCGTGGCGGGCAGGTGGGAGGGGAGCCGGTCCCTTTGCAGCCGGGGACTGCTGCAAAGAGCTCCGGGGACTGCAGGAGAGCTGAGCTGGGGGAGAGCTGAGCCAGGGCGAATCAACAGAGAAGGCGGAGGACACCAGTCTGAGGCTGAGCCGGGTCCCTGCTGTTCGCTGTCCGTTGCCACTGCCAGTCAGAAGGCAGGAGGCCCTTGTACTGATCTGAGATCTTGACGGAAGGGTCACTGGGGATATGGGAACACCTGGGCTGGCTAGAGAGCGAGCGTTCAACCTGAGGGCCTTGCTTCTAGACTGAAGTGGAAAAAGCTCTGTGAGTATGCCATCCCTGTCCTGTCCAGGTCATATATGTATGTGCACACAAGCCCTCCTTTGCCATAAAACACCCTTCCTGGTGCTCCAAGGATTAAACTGTTAACTTTCCCTGACCTTGAACACGAGTTTCAGTTTCTGATGCGGTTGCTAATCCCCATGCTATTTGTAACCTGCCCCGTGACACTTGACAAGTATCCAACTGTGCTAGTTTCCACACCAGAGGTCAGGCCGCTGTGAGAAGTGAGTAGAGTGTGCTCTGGACCCAAACACAGAGTCACCCAGAACTCTGGGGACTTTCCCACCCATGCCTTTTCTCCCTAACTTCCTGTCTCTTTGAAAGCCCATCCATTCTTGCCAACTTCCTGCTCTATGAGTTAGGCTTGGTAAGAAGAGGTGAAGAAATGAGTCACAGTGTGGGGCTAAGAGGGATGGAGAGTTACTTGGGCTTTCGGGCTGGTGGAATGGGGAGGGTGAATGGGGGTTGGCAGGGGAGACTCACAGTGGGGGGGGGCACAGGGGAGGGTGCACAGATGTGGGCTTTCTCATAGCCAGGGTGCTCTGAGCACTGAGTCTAACAAGGCAGTCTTACATAATGGCTAATGCCAGCATTCAGCACCCAGCTGGCTCTGTGGAGTTCCTGCCTTACACCTGCAGCCCATGCTTCCCTACTGTGTGTATCCAGCTCTCTGGGAAGGTTGGGGTCATGAGTGGATGTGAATCTCACACCACCAGTTGATTCAGGGAAGGAACTGAAGCCCAGAGGTGACTGACCACTGCATCTGCTTGCACGGGGCAAGCAGCCAGATGTGCCAAAAGCTCAGTGTGCTTCCCTGAGCTCGCCTGTCACCCAGAGAACTTGGAAAATGCTTTTATTACATGTCTTGTGATGCCAGGGAGGGACCTGTATAGATCAATAAAGGAACTATCCCAAGGACATTGCAGTCATCCATGTCTTGGGTGGGGCTATCTTGGTCAAAGTGTTGAGATATACCAGTCATCCTCAGGAAGGGCACAAGGTATGTCCAATTAATGGGCAGAGAACTACCAGTGGTTATTGCCCAATAATGGTGAGCCCTGGGCTTTCTAAGAACTCAGGCCCTCACCCAAGATTTGTCCCCCTCTGAGCCAGGCCTGCTAACAGCTCTCCGCTGTACAAAGGGTTCCATGTCCATTGCCCACTCATTCTTCTCTTCTCCCTTATTTGAAAGTCAGTCTCTGGCTGAGTCCTGTATGAGCCTACAAGGGGCCTGTTGATACAGCTGCCCCTCTGGTGCCACATGACTTCGGGCTTGCCACCCATGACAGACTTGAATGCCCTGGCACCAAGGACAATCAGATTAGCTAGCTCTCCCTGGGGATAGCCACTGTTTGTGTCCTTTGTAGCCTGCTTGACTAAATCAAAGCCTTGGAAACTGTTGGTCTGTCAAGTATGACTTCAAGGTGCTGTCTTTAGATCAGTCCTGGTCTCGGAAGAAAGGCTGCATGATCCAAAACTGACACTCCTCCCCAGTCTTTAGTCAGTGAGAAAAGGTACATCCAGACAAACCCTTAGAAAAACAACATCAAAGCAAGATTTTAGAACTGGATGAAGCAAGGCACAGTAGCAAAGGCCTATAATCCTAGCCCTTGGGAGCTGAGGATCAGGAGTTCAAGGGTAGCCTGAGCTACATAGCAAGCTCCAGATTAACCTGGTCTACATAATGAGATTTGATCTCAGAAAACAAAACAGTACAAGACAAAACTTGGACGTACCACAGATCCATCCAGTTCCTGAGTACAGGAGAATGAAGCAGAGGTGAGCATTCATTTTTTTCAGCCAGCAAATATTTACAGAGGGCTTATAGAATTCAGTGGGGAGACAAAGATTTAGAAAGCTAAGAAGAAGAACGTATGGAGGAGGGCTGCTCTGAATGGAGTGAGGAGTGGAGGTGTCTGCACAGGAGGCGCCAGAGCACAAACTTGCTGGGAATGAGGAAGCCACGCACCGTCTTTTATTGTGCCCCCAAACATAGATGCTGAAAACAATAGATCTACTGTCTCCCCCAGTTTCTGAAGGTCATGAAGGAGGTCAGTTTCTGGGAGTGGCTTAGCTGGGTGGTTCTGGTTTGGGGGTCTCTCCCAAGGCTGCAGTCACAGTGTGGGCCAGAATAGCAG